CTCCCTACTTTCCTTCTCTGGGCTTCACCCAGTATAACCATCCTCACTCCCAAACCCTACACATTCCAAATTTTTCAACAGTATTCCCTTGGGAAGAATGCATTGGAATTAGGAAACTCATGGATACTGTTTTGGGCTGAGCACTAGTTTGGCAGGCAGTAGATTTCTAACCAGGTACTCTGACATTCTCTGCCTTATGAATGCCAAGTAGTAGCTCCATGTAGGGCCAAGTTCCAGTTCATTCTGGAAGAAGATGGAGGAGACTCTATGAGCCATCTCCACCATCATCATCAACTCCTCTTCAGGTTGTCATGTTTGTTGGCTGGGTGTAGATCCACTTGTGATTGAAAACTGTTATTTAGGTTAACTTTTTTCCTATGTGGAAAAAGTTAGCTGGTTTAACCAAAATATAGGGACAAAGGTAAAGTGAGGAGGCAAAGAATGAACACTTACTAAGGCCCTATCATATGAAGCTAGGTACTTTTAATGAATTATGTTATTCATTCTTTATAAAATCATAATAGTATCCCCATTTTACATGTGAAGAATTGCTAGAGTGACTCTAAACATTGTGCTCTTCAAGATGCTGCAGGCCAATTTCTGGGCATCCTTGGCGACAAAAGTACCTTGGCAGCAGGACACAGCCCAAAACAAGGCAGAGAGGTGGTGCACAGGAAGCAATTCTCTAGAAAGCAGACTAGTGATGCCACCTCCCTAGAGATACACACTCACCTACGTAGTGGTCTAATAATTGATTTGACGTAAGACAGATTAACAGGAGAAAAACATATTTTGTATGCATAGGAGCCCTATAAAAAATACGAGATTCCCCAGAGTACTAGACTTATCAGGTGATCACTTTTGTAAGGTATATAAATGTCTAATCATTACATTGCACACCTGAAACTAATATAATATTGTATGTCAACTGTAATTGAAAATTAATTTTTTAAAAATTTAAAAAATATATGAGTCTCCCCAGTAGACAGGTAATTGACGCTTACATGCTATCATGAACCAAGTTGAAGGGTTAGGGGTCTGGGTCTTCGAATGGGAGGAAGACAATTCACAGGAAAAAGAGAACAAATGTTTGGTAAACAGATGTTTGTCATGCCATGTAAATAAGTTTTTCTGTCATAAAAGTTATCTCTGGTAATAATAGTTCTTTTGCTGGTAGAGGCCCTCAATCTAAATTCTTTTAGGCAATTAGGAGGAAGATAAAAAGCTCTTTCTGAGTTTCCTAGGCATCGATTGTCTTCAGTTTGATTCAATGTATGTGCCAAAGTGGTACATTCTGGAGTGGCATATTCTGCATCACCTCACCTACAACATTCCCAGGGCTGTTAGGTTATTCCTGAATCTCACAACAGCAACGAAGACAGCCTAGCTTTAACTAAAAAGCTTGAGGGTATCATAGCATCATTTCTGTAGTGTTTGCATTTAGTAAGATACCCACAGGGAGACATAAATCTGAAGAAAAATCAAAGTGAAACACGTGACAAACAAAATGAAGCATGTTGTAACCAGTCAGCACAGAATCAGGAGACCTCCTATACATCTCCTTAGGCAATTCACTTCCGTGACTCTCATTTGTTTATCCATTAACGGAGAGGATTAACCAGCTGAAGTTTTCTTCCTGCATAAACAGACTATTGGTGAAAGAGTCAGCCACAGGATTTCTTTGTATCTTTTGAGAGCATTTCATCTTTTGGTCCTTGCCAAAAATCATGTTTCCATTTACTTCTGCATCTTCAGGGATGACACTACAACTACCTGAAGGTAAACATATCAGGGATATGCTTTAGAATGTCCTGGTGTTTGGCTCAGAAAGGAAACAATGCAATAATAGAGAAGTTTTGTGTTATAAAATGTACCTTTTAATAAGGAAATTTATCAGGAAAAGTTGCACCTCTTAAGAGGAATTCCGATCTCAGCTACTTTCTACATTTTCACAGACATGCTCTTCTTCACACAGAGCATTGCCAATGACTCTTGATTCTCACATCCTTCAGTGTGTCCCTGGAAGCGTGTGTCTTCTGGGACCTCCAGCTTCCAGTCTCAGCCAAGATTGTTACCGGGACCCCAGTGTTTTTGAGCCTAGCTGCCTGTGTGCACTGTTCCAAAGAAATGCACAAGCAGGAGTTTGCAATATAGAAAGAAAAACAGCTTAATATTGAATTGGCCAATCCAGAGATGGGGAGCTAATGCTAAAGACGTAACTCCCCACTGGCACATAGGTTACGGATTATATTGGGCAAAATTCCAAAACACTATGGATTAGGGGGTTCGGGTAGAGCTGGGAGCTGATTGGTCAAAGGTGAGGTAAGGGTAATAAATCTTTTCTTCAGGCCTTGAGGACAGTTCTGAGGTCTATTGCAGGTCCCTCTGGTCTCATGGGAAAGTAGCCAGGGGGTCGTTCTACCGTAAGGATCAGGAACTGAAATATAACTTAGGTCAAGGTGTTATTTTTAGCCTCCCAGAGGTCCAGACCATGTGACCATTAGTCAGGTCCAGGCTACTGTCTTCTCCTGCCTCAGGGGCTGTTGATTTTGGGGGAAAGGCTAGGTCAGAGAGAGACAGACAGAGAGAGAGAGAGAGAGAGAGAGAGAGAGTGAGAGAGACGTGATTTCTAGAGCTAAGATTTAAAGCTAAATTTAGTCAAAGTCATAAGGACCCTCGGTTTCAAGATCATAATCTTTTTGTAGTTCCTTCTACCACAGGAGAGAGATATGAGCATGTAGTTGACCTCTTTTCTCATCCCCATTATCACTCTCTTTCAAAGAGTGCAGTAAGGAAGGAAAATAGCAGATCATTGAACCCTTAAGATATGTCAAGATTGAGGCCAAATACTTTTCTCTATATTTTAATTTAATCCTTACAACAACTCTTGAGGTAGCTACTATTATTCCAATTTTCCAAGTGAAGAAATTAAGTTTTAAAGAAATTACAGTGTTGCCCAAGGTCATAAAATGATGGAGCTAAGATTCTAAAGCAGGTAGACTTGAGTCTAGAACCTAAGCTTACAACCACTGCAGCATCTTATGGCTGCCCAGATGACCCTCATCTCCTTGACTCACTTGGGACACTTGGTGAGTCAGATTCAAAGATCATTAAAATTGAGATGTAGTTTTCTACTTTCAGAAACCTTCCAGTGAGAACATTCTTTCACTTCCTTTGTCTCTTGGGCAGCTTTTACCCTGTATCTTACTGCCTACACTTTCTAGACTTCTGGAAAGTCTTCCAAAAACCAGATTGCTTCCTGTTGATGAGACAAGTTCTTGTGTGCTTTTATTGAGGTTTATAAACACTCCCTCTGTGTAATGATTGTTCCCACAAAAGAAGTTTATTACTGATGTCCTTTAGGCCCTATTTCCCAACTAGATTCATTTACACAAATTTATTGAACACCTACTAACTTCAAGGTAGCTTTAGGCACCAGGAAAACAGTGGTGAACACAGACAGATGCTGTCCCCATGGAGCAATGTTCTGCTGGTGGAGAAAGAGCACCTCCTGTATTTTCCGATAAATCCCACTTTTCTTGCTTTCTTGACAATCTGCCACATTCCTCTTATGATTCTTGAGTTAAATTCAATATTTGAAAAGATTACCTTATGATTCTTCTCTGTGATCCTCCTCTTCATGAATCCTAGAGCCACACCTGGCTGCAAACTTAAGATGCATGATGTTTTCCTTTCAGGCTAAGAGGAAGGGAGTGACTATTAGTGAGCACCTATAGTATGTGCTGGTATTTATAATGCATTGTCTCATTTAATTATCACAAAAGCAAAAGGAAGCAAAGATTATTATCACATTTTCAAATGAAATACCTGAAGGTCCTAGAGGTCAAATTACAGAGCTGAAAAAAGGCAGAAGTGGATACGACGCAGAGGGCCTCCTTGTCTTTACTTAGCAAGGGAATCATTCTCCTGGAACCGCAACTTCAAGGAAATGCTGGGAAGCAGCCAGCATTCCCCAGACCCGGACAATGGGTCAGAGCAATGATTGAATCATAACACAGTACTTTGTGTCTCTCCCCACCCTCACCCCAGACTGTTCATGTGAAGCCGGCATGTAGCCCCACTGCTTGCACTTCTATCTTTGTAGTTTTTTCCTTGATTAATGTTTTCTTTAATGTTTTCAGTCTTCAGACATTATCTATTGACTGAAAGGCAGATTCTGTATTAAGGGGACAATTAGGTCATGGGGGAAAGAAGTTGAGCTGATGGGAAGGTAGAGAGATTCCAAAGGCAGACTTTTTCTATCTCCCAAAACTGAAGTGTTTGACCTTCATCCTGCCAACTCCAGACAATTTGGGAGGTGGGGAAATTTTCCTCTGTAATCTCTCCACCCAGCTGTGGAGTTGGGACAGGGCCTCAGCTCAGATGGCTGGAGATCTGAAGCTTTAGAAACAGAATCTAAACCTATACAACATGTAGAACAAACATCAAAGCATCACGGTGTTATGAAATTTTCCTTGATAAATGAGAAATCTCTATATCGCAGTTCTCTGGGAAGATAGATTCAACTTGGAAAGGATTTCTCTATTCTAGTAAAAGGATTTTATTTACCTTACTTTTTAAATTTAGTGTTTTATAAAAGTCTATTACATCTATTATGAACATAAAGGAAGCATTACAATGAAAATTCAGGTACTAAACTTTCTAAAAATTAATTTTTAAGTTATTTTTATATTTTTAAGTGTTCAGTATAATGGCTTATTTTGTAGGGTGGGTAGAAGTAGGGGCTTATTTCTTTTGAAAAAATATAACTCTGAGTTGTTTGAGTAATGACTTCCTTGTTAATCGACCCGTTGATGGGTTAGATGCTAAATGACCCATTGTTGGTCCTAGAATAAGGTCACGCTTGTGTTTGGGGTTTTTGAGATCAAAAGATGATATCAACTGTGAGTCACTCAAAGGATTTCATATTCACAGAGCCTGGCCTAAAGGTATATAAAGAGGGACATTAAAGGAACTTGGACTGAACAGGAACAGGGTGATTTCGGTTCAGTCATTCAGGAGAAGTTTAGAATGAAGTTTCTTCTGTTGATATTCGTCCTGCAGGTCACTGCTTCTGGAGCTGTTTCCCCAAGTAGGCATACAAGCGTTGAGGAAAATGATAAGGTGGTTGCTCTAGTAAGTATGAACATGATAGTATTTATCTAGCTTGATTTTTGTCTTTAAGATTTATTACATTGATCAGTTTTATCTTGAAAAGCACTATTTGAAAACTGGTTTAGGAGGCTATTTGCTTTCAGCCTGAATTTTTCTTTGCTAAAGAGGAATGTAAGAGAGAGAGAGAGAGGTATTGATTTTAAAAGGGTATTGTTATTGAATTGGTAGGTGAATTTGTCCCTTCTACTTAAAAGCTTAGGCCAAGGTATTTTAATTCAAAATAATTGACGTTTTACTTCTGTTATGACATTTTACATTAGCCATTCAATGCCGATTAATAATGTAAGATTTGAACAATGACTTGATTAATTTAACCACTTCAGTTTGCCATGGTAATTCAAAAATACTGTCTACCTTCACTATCCCAGATATTTTTCATGAGCGTTTTTTAAAAATAAAATTTTTTCAGTTCATTTCTTTTCCCTAATTGTATGAGTTCAGATGATCTCCCCATTTTCTAGGAATATTTTAACTTTAAATTAGTCATAGTAGTCCATTGTGTTGAGCTTTGATTTTTTAAGCAAGAAAATTTTATCCCAACTTAAATTAATAATTTATACATTCTGAAAATAAAGGTTTTGCTGCTTACTGAATTTTGCCATGATGTGCTAGATGCTGAAATAGGTTTTTAAAAGTAGAAACAAATTGTAAGATGTAGAGACATAAAGATGTTTTCAGTGGGTTATCAGAAATCAATCTTGCTAATAATTTATGACACGTCTTTGACAGCACAGAAAATTTTAAATTTTTTATCATTATAATTAATTGTCCAATATCTAGTTCAAAAGCATAAGTGTAAAGTTGAGTCATATATGCAGAGCTACAACAGAAACTTTTTTATTTATAATAATATATTATAATAAT